TGTGTGTGTGTGTGTGTGTGTGTGTGTGTGTGTGTGTGTGTGTGTGTGTGTGTGTGTGTGTGCATATACGTGTATAATCATTTATTTTAAACTTTAAATTTTATAAAATCAAGAGACCCTTTCCCCTCATGTTGTACAAACATTTCGTTGCTTTAATATAATCATATATGATAAAAAATAATAGTAGATTTTATCTTTTTATTTTAGGGTATTCTGTCAGATCTTTTCCCAAACGTGACACTTCCTACGCCAGATTACACCCATTTGAACGAATGTACGCAAAAGGCTTGCGATAAAATGAATATTCAATGCGTTCCGGTATTTCTCGAAAAGATACAACAGATTTATGAAATGATGATCGTCAGACATGGTTTCATGATCGTTGGTTTACCATTTGGTGGAAAAACAACGGCATATAGAATATTATCTGAAGCACTTAAATTATGCGAAGAACAGGTAAACAAAATATTAATTATCACACAAACACACAATAGGATTAAATTACTTATATATATAATTTAATTATTAATAATATTAATAATAAGATTGAGAATAATATTAAAAATAATATTAAAAATAAATAGTAATATTATTTTTATATTATTATATAATATTAATATTATATTATTACACACATAATATTATAATTATATGTCAATAATTATATAAAATTATATAATATATTATTAATAATTATTACATATAATAATATAATATTAATACATTCGCGATCGGCACATTTTTTCCTTTTTTAATACTGAGTACCGGCAAAAATAATGAATTATTTAAATTTATATTTAAATGATAAAATATAATAATATAATAAAATATAATTATTTAAATATCATATTGAAATGATTAAATATAAATTTAATAAATATAATAAAATAATAGTATATAAATATAAATTCTATATATATATATATATATATAAAAATTTATTTTTATTAAATTTTTAAAATCTAAAATTACGTAAATCCACATCAGCGGCAACTAGGAATAGAACTTGAAAAGACGTGAATTCACGTCAGCGGTCGCGAATGTGTTAATATTATTATATTATTAATTATATATACATATATATAATTATATATAGTAATAATATTAATATTATTTATATATATCAATGAATTTATTTAGAATCTTTTGGAAGAACACAAAGTAGAGATAACCGTGATTAATCCCAAAGCTATAACTATGGGCCAATTATATGGTGAATTTGATTCTGTTTCACATGATTGGAAGGATGGTATTTTAGCAGTGAGCTATCGTGCTTTTGCTAATTCTACCAATAACAATCGCAAATGGTTAATCTTTGACGGACCCATAGACGCATTTTGGATCGAAAGTATGAACACGGTTTTGGACGATAATAAGAAATTATGTCTTATGAGCGGTGAGATTATACAATTGGCACCAACTACCAATTTACTTTTCGAACCGATGGATCTCGAAGCTGCATCCCCGGCAACAGTATCACGTTGCGGTAATTTGAAGTATTTTATTCCTTTTTTTTATTTTACATATAATGATTCTTTTCATCCGAATAAAATAATGTCTTATTTTGTGGGAAAATTTAGGTATGATTTATATGGAGCCAAGTGCGTTAGGATGGAATCCATTATTAAAATCATGGATTGCTATGACTCCTGAAAAAATAAATCCTTGGTTAAAGAATTTCCTTTATGAATCATTGTTCATGAGATTTTGCAAACCATTATTCCGTTTTTTACGTCGCGGTAATGTAAAGGTATACATATATCATTTATCATTTTATTTGTATAATTATTGAATATGAAATAAATTTTGATTGATAGGAATTATGTCCGATGCCAGATTCGAATCATTTGAGATCAATTACATATCTGATGGATTGTTTCATCGAGGAATATCGGGATGAGAAAATAGCTAAACATATTGATGAATATGATCTTCGTGCCCAAGTAGAGGTAAATGATATTTAATTAAATTTGAATAATAATTCGTTATAATTTGTGAGATTTATCCGATAAAATAATGTACAATGATACATACAGGGATCATTTTTCTTTTCTTGTATCTGGGCAATGGGTGGTACATTAGAGGCAAGTTCCAGAGAACAATTCAATATATTATTCCGTGGTTTTATGGAAAAGGAATTTCCATTATCTTTGATGGAAATTTATCATATAGAAGAAACTATACCACAACCAGAAAAACCATACATATTCGTCATGCCTAAGGATCATCTTGTCTTTGATTACAAATTCATTAAAGAGGTTAAACATTTGAACTTTATTTATTGATAATAAATATTAATCGATATGTAAACATACAAAAAAAATAATTCTAATTCTAGGGTAAAGGAAAATGGAAATTATGGTCGGACGAGTTAATGAACTTACCACCGATACCTCGTGACATTCCAGTCAATCAAATAATCGTCCCTACAGTTGAAACGATACGTTATACGGCACTGTTCAAACTTTTGGTACAACACGAAAAACCTGTACTTTTCGTCGGACCAACGGGTACGGGCAAATCAGTTTACATAATTGATTTTTTATTGAAGAAGAATAATCCTACGGTTAACAAGCCATTGTTCATCAATTTTTCCGCCCAAACTACGGCAAATCAAACTCAAGAAATAATAATGAGTAAACTTGACAGAAGACGAAAAGGAGTATTCGGTCCACCGGTTGGTAAACGATGGATTATTTTTGTCGATGATTTATCGATGCCATTGAAAGAAACTTATGGTGCACAACCACCAATAGAATTGCTTCGTCAAATGTTGGATCATTGGCAATGGTAATAAAATTATCTTTAACGTTACGTTAATGGTAACAGATCTTTTAACAAAAATTAGATCATTTATCATTTTCTTTTGTTTTTTTGTAAATGTAGGTACGATTTAAAAGAAATAATACCAATTAAATTAATCGAAATACAATTGATGTGTGCTATGCCACCACCTATTGGTGGTGGCAAGGATATTACCCCACGATTCAAAAGACACTTTTTCACCTTAACGATATCCGATTTTGAGGATGACGTTATGATTATGATATTCAGTAAAATTATATTATGGCATCTTGATACAAGGTCAGTTATATGATTTTTATCATTATCATCATTATTTACATTTACAATAACGTTCATATTGTTTTCATTTATTTAGAGGTTTTAGCAAAGAATTTGATCCGTGTATCGATCAGATTGTATTAGCAACTTTAAATGTTTATAAAGAAAGTCTTCAAAATCTTCTACCTACACCAGCTAAGTGCCATTATATGTTCAACCTACGTGATTTTTCCAGAGTTATACAGGTTTTTTAATAATAATTCTTTCATTTATATAGAAAAAAAATGTTAAACCAATTTATTTGAATAAATGTTCTATGCTTTATATATTAAATATAAAATTATACGTACATAATATTTATTAAATTTAGGGAATACTTTTGTCAGTTCCCGAAGCAATGTCTACATTGACAAGTATGAAAAGATTATGGGTTCATGAAATATTACGCGTATTTGGTGATAGATTGGTAGATGATTTGGATATGAATTGGTTAATCGAACAATTGCATTTGACATTGAACAAACATATGGAAATATCGATGGAAGAATTGTTCGATGATTTTCTTCAATCTAGCTCAACTGGCAAGGTATTATATATATATATATGAACGATTATGATCAATGTGTATTTTATTATTTCATAAAAATTTATTTGATTCTTATTATTTCAGATCACCGAATACGAATTGAGAAAATTATTATATTGCGATTTTGCCGATACAAAAGCTGACGTACGTGTGTATAAAGAAGTAACTGATTTAGAACAATTACGAGAAATTGTAGAAAATTTTTTAACGGAATATAATACCATGTCGAAAAAACCAATGCAATTAGTTTTGTTTCGGTAAAAATTCGGTTAATTTCTTTAAAATCAACAAACGTACGAACAATATTCACATGAAAATGTATAATTTTTTGTATGGATACAGTTTTGCCATAGAACATTTGTCAAAAATCTCACGGATCATCAAGCAACCAAGAAGTCATGCTCTTTTAGTTGGCGTTGGTGGTTCGGGAAGACAATCATTGACCAGATTGGCATCTCATATTTGCGATTACGACGTTTTTCAAATTGAGATTAGCAAGCAATATGGCGTTAACGAATGGCACGAAGATATTAAAGCGATCATGCGTAAAGCAACTGCTACTGAATTACATTCGACGTTTCTTTTCACTGATGTTCAAATAAAAGAGGAAAGCTTTTTAGAAGATATCAGCAATATGCTGAATTCAGGAGAAGTATATTGTTACATATATAGTAAAGAAATGATTAAGACCATAAAAATTTGATGTTACAAGTTCATTAATAATTTTATGATTTACGGTTTGATGATTAATTTCTTTTTTTGTTAGATACCTAACATATTCAATAACGAAGAAAAAGCTGAAATTTGCGAGAAAATGCGACAAATCGATCGACAACGGGATCGAACTTTACAAACAGATGGTAGTTTAGTTGCGTTATTTAATTTGTTCGTTCAAATAACACGCGATCAGCTTCACATAGTTGTCGCCATGTCACCGATCGGTGATGGTTTTAGAAATCGAATTAGAAAGTTTCCAGCTTTGGTTAATTGCTGTACCATCGATTGGCTTCAAGTATATATATTAATAAAAATATATATTTCATTCATTTTAATCAATTTCATCCATTAATAAAATCTTTATATTATTCAAGGCATGGCCAGAGGACGCGTTGATAGCAGTGGCAACGAGATTTTTATCCGAAATCGAATTATCTGATCACGAAAGACAAGTTGGAATAGACATGTGTCGTTTTTTTCACGTGTCAACAGAAAAATTGAGCGTTGAATTTTTAACACGTCTCAATAGGCACAACTATGTAACACCAACGTCTTATCTCGAGATGATCAATACTTTCAAGGACCTTTTAAACAAGAAAAGACGGTAAACATATATTAAAATAAAATATTTATAAATTCTGTTTTTTCTTTTCAAATATTATATATTTTATTTTTCAAAAAATAAAATATTTCTTTATATGATAACAGAGAAATATTACTCACCAAAGCACGATACGAAGGTGGTTTAGGTAGATTAGACGGTACGCAACATCAGGTCACTGATATGCAAGAAACTTTAAGAGAATTACAGCCACAATTGGTAACTGCTACTCAGGACGTAGAAAAAATGTTGATTGACATTGAAAGGGAAAATCAAGAGGTAGCAGAATTTGAGAAAATAGTTAAACTCGACGAAGCAGCTGCCCAGGTGTGTGAAAAATAATAAATAGGAAAAATTCAATAATACAAGTCGACAAATTGATTTTGTCCAAATTACCTCATTGAAAGTTATATTTTTTTTTATAGGCTGTAGCTGACGAAGCAGCCGCAATTAAAGCAGAATGCGACGCGAGTTTGGCAGAAGCAATGCCATTTTTGTTAACTGCTCAAGCAGCTCTAGATACTTTAACTTTACCAGATATTGCAGTAGTCAAAGCTATGAAACATCCACCTTATGGTGTTAAACTTATTGTAGAAAGTGTTTGCGTTCTTAAGGTATTCCATGTTCTCATTAATAGTAATCTTAAATTGAACGTAATCTCGTTGTTTATATATATTATTATATGTTTATTAATTATTCTAATAGATGATCATTATTTTTAGGAAATAAAACCGGATAGAATACAAACAAAGGAAGGTTCAACGGAAGATTATTGGAGGGCTGCATTAAGAATGCTAAGCGATACTAAATTTCTCGATTCTTTGTTGAACTTTGACAAAGATAATATACCGGAGAAAGTAATAGAAAATATTAGAAAAAATTATTTGACAAAACCCGAATTCGATCCGGAAAAAGTGAAAAAAGTATCTACCGCTTGCGAAGGACTTTGTCGATGGGTCATAGCTATGTCGGAATACGACAAAATAGCAAAAGTTATTGCACCGAAAAAGAAAGCTTTGGCAGAAGCTGAAGCAGCTTATAAAGAAGCATTAGATGCGTTAAATTTAAAACGTCAACAATTAAAAGAAGTTCAAGTATATTTTTCAAATAATTACAAATTTATTTTTCTTCGTTGTATTTTTCAAATTTGTACTTTACTTTCATTATTATTTTCATTTTTCAGGATAAACTGGCAGCTCTCGAAGCATTGTTGAATCAAAGAAAGGCAGAATTTCAGGCAATGTCGGATCAGGTTACCGATTGCGAAGTAAAAATAAAACGTGCTGAAGAACTTATTGGCGGATTGGGTGGAGAATACACACGTTGGTGGCAATGTGCTGAAGAACTCGGGGATAGGTAGACACTTCTTTTATATTTTTTTAATTGAAAACAAGATGAAAATCGTATTTAACTAAAGGAATATAAAAATTTATTGTTTTAAAGTTAATTAATAACCTTTCTATATAAAACATTAATTTATCTTATTGTTAGTTCATTGTTCTCTTGAATTTAATTTCAAATTTCCTTATGACACACACACTTAAGCCAAAAAGTTTTATAGAATTTCATTTTACATTAATTAAATGGTTCGTAGATATTTTCGACTAACTGGAGACGTTATTATCGCTTCTGGAGTTATTGCTTATCTCGGTCCATTTACAATGCCATACCGTGTACGTCAGATCACGGAATGGGTAGAATTATGCAATAATTTGAAAGTTGTATGCACTAAAGATTTCCAATTGCGAGAGGTTCTAGGTGATCTTGTTTTAATAAGAGATTGGAATATATTTGGATTACCAAGCGACATATTTTCTGTTGACAATGGTATCATCGTTACGTAAGTATACACGATCATCAAAACATAATAATAATAATAATAATAATAATAATAATAATAATAATAATAATAATAATAATAATAATAATAATAATTGTAATAATAATAATAATTACATTAAAATTGCAATTCGATGTTATAGAAATGCTAGAAGATGGCCATTGATGATAGATCCACAAAATCAAGCAAATAAATGGATTAAAAATATGGAAAAAACTAACAATCTCAGTATCATTCGATTAACACAATTGGATTACATCAGAGTTTTAGAAAATGCTATTCAATTTGGTCAACCAGTTTTATTAGAAAACATTGAGGAAGAATTAGACGCTATATTAGAACCTATCCTTTTAAAACAAACGTTCAAACAAAGTGGTGCATTGTGTATTAGATTAGGCGATACCGTTGTTGAATATAACAGTAATTTTAAGTAAGCTCATTATTTAATTAATAATTAGAAACAATTACTCTCGGATAGTCTTTTAATTTCATTTTGTAGACTCTACATAACAACAAAATTGAGAAATCCTCATTACTTACCAGAAATAACGGTTAAAGTTACTTTAGTAAACTTTGTGATTACACTGGAAGGATTGGAGGATCAATTGCTTGGTATAGTTGTTGCTAAAGAAAGGCCAGATTTGGAAGCTGAAAAAAATGCGCTCATTTTACAAAGTGCTACGAATAAAAGGTCATTTTTATTACTATCTTTTTTTCCTTTTTTTCACATTTATTTATCTTACGTAACTTTTGTTCAAAATTTATATATATATATATCCAGATTATTGAAAGAAACGGAGGATAAAATTTTAGAAGTATTGTCCGTGGCCGAAGGTAATATTCTCGAAGATGAAGATGCAATCGATGTATTAACATCATCGAAAAATTTAAGCGACGATATTCACGTAAAACAGGCGGCCACCGAGGTTACCGAAAAATCGATCGATGCAGCTAGACTTCAATATACACCGATTGCTACTCATTCAACCGTATTATTTTTCACTATAGGTAATATAATTCGTGAAATATAATACGACATGAGAGAGAGATTTTTTTTTTTCGTTAGTTGTTCATTTATTAAAGTATTTTATTTGACAGCAATATTGGCAAATATTGATCCGATGTATCAATATTCATTAGTATGGTTCGTCAATCTTTATAATATGGCAATTGAAAATACTGACCCATCGGATAGTTTGGAACAACGTTTGAAAGATCTCATCGAATATTTCACTTATTCGCTTTATCTCAACATATGCAGATCTCTGTTCGAAAAGGATAAATTATTGTTCTCTTTGCTTCTCGTTATTAATTTATTGAAACAACAAGAAAAACTTCCTACATTTCAATGGATTTTTCTTTTAACGGGTGGTGTTGGCCTTGATAATCCTTATGTTAATCCAACCACATGGTTGCCTGTTAAACAATGGGACGAATTATGTCGGCTTGACAAAGTCGAAGGATTTTTTGTGAGATATATATCATTTAAATATTCGAAAAAGTGAAAAAATAATAGTTAATAATCGCGAACATTTATAAATTTTAAAATCATATTCAGGGTATTAGAGAAAATTTTATCGAGAAAAACGAAGAATGGAAAGTAGTGTTCGATTCGAAGGAACCGCAAAATACGAAACTTCCAATTCCATACGACGATATCAATTTGTTTCAAAGACTCCTGGTATTGAGATGCATTAGACCGGATAAAATCATACCAGCTGTACAGAATTTCATTGAAGGTATATACACTTTTCCATTGATCATTCATTTCTAATCAATTATTGAGTTGAACGTTAAAATAGTTATTTTTAGCTGAACTTGGTCCAAAATTTGTTGAGCCACCTACGTTCGATTTAGCTTCTTCATATGCCGATTCGAATAATTGCATTCCATTGATATTTGTGTTAACTCCCGGTGCTGATCCAGCTCAAGTGTTGCTAAAATTTGCTGACGATCAAGGCTATGGAGCTAGTAGATTATTTTATTTGTCTTTGGGACAAGGTAAATAAAAAAATCAATTCTCGCTTATTTATTATATTACAATTTATAAATAACAATTATTTTCCTTTTTCGTTAATTTCCTATTACTTTCATTGTGCTTCACTATTCAGGTCAAGGACCAATCGCTGAGGAATTAATAGAAGACGGTGTTGTTTATGGTAATTGGGTGGTCTTGCAAAACTGCCACCTCGCCAAGAGCTGGATGCCAACCTTGGAAAGGATTTGCGAAGGTTTTATGCCTGATGCAATACATCCGGAATTTCGATTATGGTTAACTAGTTATCCAGCTGAACATTTTCCCGTTTCTGTTCTTCAAAATGGTATTAAAATGACTAACGAACCTCCCAAAGGATTGAGAGCTAACATCATTCGATCCTACACGAATGATCCTATAAATGATCCTGACTTTTTTGAATCATGCAGTAAGAGTGAAACATTTAAAAAATTACTCTACTCTTTATGCTTCTTTCACGCAATCGTACAAGAAAGAAGAAATTTCGGTCCTATCGGTTGGAATATACCTTACGAATTTAATGAAACTGATTTGAGAATAAGTATTTTACAATTGCACATGTTTTTAAACGAATACGAAGAAGTACCGTTTGAAGCACTCCAATATCTTACCGGAGAATGTAATTATGGTGGTAGGGTTACCGACGAATGGGATCGTAGAACATTGAATACCATTTTAAAAATATTTTATTGCGAGTAAGTGTTTAAATAATTTTATTCCTTATCGAACAAATATTTATTTTAATTTTTTATTTATTTAACTAATAGGGAAATACTCGGGGAAAAAATTTATTACTTCGATCCCTCTTCGAAAATTTATTATTGCCCTGCAACGAGGGAACACGAGGCCTACATGGAATACACTAGAAATCTTCCATTAATTACCTCGCCAAGTGTTTTTGGAATGAACGAAAATGCAGATATTATTAAAGATCAACACGAAACTTCGTTGCTTTTCTCTTCTCTTTTATTAACTCAGGTAAAATCGATTGCGCAATACTCTATTATCGTTTATTTTAATTTTAATAATAAAATTGAATTATTTAATTCTCGCCAATAAGGATCGTCTGGTAGGTATATTATGCTATATCCATATAAATTATATATTTTTCTAATTGATTACTTTTATATAATCACATATATTTTCGCACATATTTTAACACGCAGGATCTATGGGAAATAAAGGTAAATATTATTTCTCATGCAAAAAAAAAGAGATTCGATTAATCTATATTTTTCGAATGAAAAAAAAAAACTTCTCGAATATGATAAAACGGCAAAAATAGATTAAACGAGTTTGCACGCAACTAAACGATAAATTTTCTTACGTCGCTTTAACAGGAGACGGTTAAAACTGGAACTGGGGCGATGTCGAACGACGAGATAGTCTTTAATGTGTCTGCTGATATTTTGAGTAGACTTCCAGTGGATTATGATCTTCAAGTAGCAATCGAGAAATATCCAGTGTCCTATAGTCAAAGCATGAACACCGTATTGGTACAGGAAATGGGTCGTTTCAATAAATTATTGAGCTGCATACGAAGCAGCTTGATTAATATTCAAAGGGCCATAAAAGGTCTTCTATTTTTTTTATCCCTTTTTTTATTTTTATAATTAATCGTAAAAAATTGTCTCCATTTCGTACCGTTGACCATTTTGAAATTTGATAATAATCTCTTTTTCATCCAGGTCTCATCGTTATGTCTTTCGAATTGGAAGATATTTATGGAACAATATTGATCGGTAAAATACCATCCTATTGGATGCAACATTCTTATCCTTCTTTAAAACCTCTCGGTAGTTACATAAATGACTTTTTACAACGTTTGATTTTTCTACAGGTAATTCTTTTACACAAGACTATTAATTTCAGTAAGACGATAAATTTTTATTATATATTCATCGCTCTTTATTAATTTCCTTCACAGAAATGGTACGATGAAGGTTCCCCTACGGCTTTCTGGTTATCAGGATTTTATTTTACTCAAGCATTTTTAACTGGCAGCAGGCAAAACTATGCGAGAAAATATAGTATACCTATCGATCATTTGGTTTATGACTTCATTATTCTCAAAGAAACTGTTTTTAATACACCACCCGACGATGGTGTTTATATTTACGGATTATTTCTGGATGGCGCTAGATTTGATAAAAAAGATATGAAATTGGAGGAAAGCATACCCAAAGTTCTTTACGACGATATGCCATTTGTAAATATATTTAATATAATATACATAATAGACATATATATATATATATATATATA